CTAATGCATATCACTTTCGAGTAGGACTGATCGAAAATCAGAAAAGTAGTGATGCCAGCGTTCTTTGCCACACGGTTGTGTCAAATCTACTACTCATCGTTTCAATCTCATGCAGCTGTCAGATATGCTGCTGATTGTGACCCGTGTCGTTGTCCATTGCACGAGTATATTCACATTTATAAGCTTAACTGGTCTTGTGCAGATGGTTGAATACGTAGAATCATTCGACAGACAAGCCAACTGTCGATGTTTTCACCACTGTCCAACTTGTCCATGGAAGGGAATAGGGAATCAAGTCTGCCATGTTGGCGAGAGAGTATATCACAGTATTCAGGGAACTCTACTCGAACTGATTCATTGGTGAGACAGCTAACGCCTCGTTCCCATGAGAAGTGAAGTCAAGTCAAGTGAAGTGAAGTGAACAGGTGTGGTTTGGAGTGGAGTGAAGACAACCAATGCAGATCTTCATGCATCCCCAGTGTCACCAATTCCAAGTAACCTGATTATACATGTGTCAATCAATGCAGCTGGTCGTGATCCACATCCACGTCTCATGGATTGACTTGTTACCAGGCGAGAGTCTGGTCGATCTACATACAGTATGCAGATGATATAGTTACTCTGCGTGAAGTCATTGGCAAATGCCGGGTATTGTGAACAGCTTCAGCAGAAATCTCAGTAGCTTGGTCATGCGATTCGCTCGTGTCAAATGTAAGATGATGTTGCAGGACTGGTGGGAACCGACTTCTACTCTAGGGATAGCAAGTGAAATGCTTCAGCGTGTTCACCACTTCACTTATGTGGGAAGTTGCATCAACCGCAGTGCACTGATTTCTGATGAAGTCTCAGCACTGCATTTGACAACTCCTGTCATCTCTCGCTCAGCCATAATATCCGGATATCCTGCAAAGCACGTGTGTATCGTGCAGCAGTTCGCTCCCTTCTCTTCTACAACTAGCTGGGTGACATCCACGTTGAACGTGGAAGATGTGAAGTGACTAGCTGTCTCCCTTCCATTTCTAATCTCACCTGGTGGTATAATATCTTCCACAAGAAGGAGAGGAACATTAATAGTGATAATGGTGATAATAATCACGTTGCGCATAGACCCTTAGGCAAGGGAGGAAAGTCAATCGGTGATGTTGACAAGCTGCACCAATTGAGATGGTTTAGACATGTGACACGCATACCGAGTCACCGGCCTGCTCGACCAGCAATCTTATCTAGTATTTATGATTAGATTGGAGAGAGTTGAGCGTCGTCAAACCGTAGCATGCTACCATGTGTGCAGGTCTGCTGCTCAGAGTGCAGTTTGCACACCGGCTCATCGCACTTTCTCTTTCTCTGTTTTACTATCGCTGTCATTTTCCTTTCAGCATTTTTATTCGAACGCTTCGAATTAATTGCTCTGAACTATATTTTGCTCTTGTGTTTTTGCACTTTATGGACTTGACCTTACATATCATTGTAGCTTTTTTTCTTCTTCCATCTATGTAGTATGTTCGCTGTCCAGCAATTTACGTCGGCATAGCTCACTTGTTTTTACTATCTATTTATTTCAACTCTTCACGTGATGTTTTCGGTACTGAATATGCACAAGCCAAGATAATAAATTCATTCTCTTTGTTGGTCAAGTTAATATGCAGTATATGAGTACTTTCGTCTCACAAAATACATTAGTCTAGGAATGTCTTACTTACAAATCATTTATAAACAAATCACAGCATGGAGGTGTACTAAAGTGCCTACGTCAATAACTATTATGGGAATAAGACTGTTGGAAAAGCCCTAGCGCTTTGCAGATGAAACTTGGGACTGGAAGCCACAAAAGTGACTTCCCACTACAGTGTTATATTTTATGAAATATTTGAGGTCACGTGCAAATTATAGAACGATTGCTGAAGTAGATTTTAGGCACTTATCTAATGCTTTGAAAACAAATCGATCAAACCACATTCTGAAGTCTACATTTGACTAATGCTGTCATTACGTAACCCTAATTATTTTCACAAAATGCCTACTTGTTTATTCGATCTTGTCTTTGTTGTATCCTACGGATGAACATCGTATGCAACTCTGTCTGTGCCGTCTCAATTTGCAAAATTGTTGGGCCCAATAAGCTGTTCTGTGATGTGATCATAATGACAGGCTCGCTATCATTACAGGCAACGTGTGGAAGTTCATCACGTTCAACACTTGCAGATTGATTTGACCGGGATTTTGCAAATCATAACTTCTGCTTTCTCCCACGAACGGATTTAACACATTACATAGTCAAGTGCCCAGAACAACCTCTATATTCGTCATCCCCAATGAATCATTTCATAAATACCTACCCAAGAAACCTGCCATCTGCGAACAACTTTCTTACCTTCCCGCATTATGAACAGAAGTATAAGGTGGATTATGCGGGTAGTAATCCATCAATGAGAATTTGCGTTATTAATCAGAGTCCCGTCTAGACTACGGAACAGTTTGTCTGAATTGTGTAACTTATTTGAGTGAAACTCTCTGCACATACTAGTGCAACCGTTATCTGAGATGGACGGTGTTTCCCACCTTTTATTCTGTCAAGCCATCAGGTTCGGTTTGTAATATTAAGTCGTTTTTGAATTCATTGCTAACGTAGATGACATCAATGTAAATGGGAAGCAAATGCTATCCTTAGATGTAGCATCACTGTTCACCAATGTACCACTTATAGAGACCTTAGAATTTATATGCCAACAGATACTAGAAAAACAGTTCGACATCGGAATTCCAGTTATCAGTCTGAAAGAGTTGCTTTTAAGATGCACTATGAGTGTACACTTCACATTCAACAACCTTTATCACAGACAAATCGACGGCATTGCCATGGGTTCTCCATTGGGGCCAATTTTGGCAGATTTCTTTCTTGCTAAGGTTGAAAATGGTCCATTGAAACAAGCAATAGGTAAAACTGATTCTTATTTTCACTATGTTGATGATACGTTTATTATTCATGATGAGAAAGCTGACAAGTATGAAATGTTAATAAAATTTAATGATGCACATCTATCGCTCATCTTCACTTGTGAAGAAGAACATGATGGTAGACTACATTTCCTTGACGTCCAATTGAGCAGAAGAGAGGGTGGTTCACTCAAGAGAGATGTCTATAGAAAACCTACATCTGTAGGACAATATACACAATTCCTCAGTTTTGTACCAATCCGATACAAAGTCAATTTGGTCAGATGCCTCACGAATAGAGCAAGACGTATCTGTACAGATGACTCACTACAAAATGAGTTAGGATACATCCAAAATACGCTGGTCCAAATGGGTTATCCTAGTAGATTTGTAAGGAGACATATGAACACCAGGTACAATAAAGAGAAACTGACAACAGTTGAAAAGAAACAACTGTTCACGAAATTGTAATTTAATGAGGATGTGGCTAGCGAAGTCTTACATCTGTGATTATCGAGAGCGATAAAACGGACTTATACTGCCGCCACCCTTTGTTTGTCATTTTCCAGCCGACCAATTATGATTGCTCAAGTAAAAGACAAGCTAACTAGCTGTGCCACTTCTATGTGTATCTATAAATTTAGCTGCTCCTGTGGAGACAGCTATATAGGGCGAACAACTAGACAGCTCAACAAATGCATTAATGAGCATCTTCCTTCATGGTTCGGAAAAGGTCAAATAAAATCTATAAGAAGTTCTATTTTGGCTCACTTGATTGATAGCGGTCACCAAGTGGACAAAAGTAGTGCCTTCAAAGTTATCTATCGCATTCCATTGAGCCTTTCGAACGGAGTTCGAACCCGTCTTTTACACATAGCCGAAGCTATGGGAATTCGAGAGAACAATCCTGGTCTTTGCATACAAAAGAAGTTTGTTCTACCTTTGTTTCTCCCTTGGCCTAGGTGAATTTGATTCAAAACCCTCCTACCCTTTCGTACTTTCCCTCTACTTCGCACTTTATGATATTTATTTAAACTCTGATTATCCGTCCACTTCACCTCTACTATTATGTAACTTTCAAGATTTGACCTAGTTTATTTATTGAATCGTCTACATATACACATATCACTACCTTTATTTTTCTTATCGCCACCTGCATAAACCTTATTGATGAGTAGATAGAGTAATATCAGAAAGATTTGTAACATACTTATCAGGATTCACAGGAAAAAGATCTACGCGGTTTCCACCATCAATTGAACTCTTCAACTTATTTTGTATATTCGTCTTTGTTTTCTGAGTAACATCTTTACAGAACTGAAGAAATTTCATGTGGCATATTATTGATAATTCAGATAAAATGAGTGACACAACGGTATGAAGAACAAGTAGTCCTTGTAGCGTTTGTCTAACATTTTCGATATGTGACTTTATAAGACGAACGAGATTAGAGATATTTGGTTGTATTTTACTGAATTTCAAAGTTTTATAAAATTGCCTCGGGAAGGAATGATTTTTAGTATGTAACTCGCAAAATTCCAACGTGTTACGTTCGACAATAATTTTACACCTAAGGTTAACAAGTTCATTTAACCTTATTATCAATATTTTGTTATCATTATAATCATTGTTATTAACTACGTTCAAAACATTTACCACATTATTATCATTCGATCCACAAAATCACCATCATTGGTTAAAAAAACTTTTATATATAAATCTATGTAAATTAGAGTAAAGCCTGGAGATCTAATTGAAAACAATATTGTTCGCTTATATGTCTCGTTCTAATATTAAGTCAGTAAGTGCAACTATTCACCGCAAGTTTCACAACATATACAATTGTATCCAATACACCTTTCCGACCCTAGTCATAGTTACAGAAACCCAGACTCCGAAACAAATTCATTGTAAATTACAGCATTTATTTTTTCATTCCCTAAGCAATTTATTTTCCTGTCAAAGTGGATTTTGTCACGAGCAAAATTAACATCTATCAAATACCCATAAAGCCACCGACACTTTTGTAAGAAACTATATGAATCACTCTTCGAAAAGTCACAAATATGGGAATGGAAATTTATTCTAGATGATTAAACACAATTACAAAAATATGAATGGTTATATCTTGTATGTATAATAAGAGAAAAATGAAGTATCTATGATAATAAGCAGTTACCAATATTAATAACACTGAACACATAAGTGTTTAGTTTCACAAATGCAAGCTGTGTAGTAAGTTTTACAAGAAACTTAGAAATTATCAAAAGAAATGACTGAAGATTGTACGGCATGCAGCGGGATACATGATGCATTCTCTGTGAAGTGCACACCAGTTTGTCCTTCACCAAGACTGGATGAACCTAACTTATCCTTTCGACCCTCGTGCAATTGACCAATTTGAGAAATATTTTCCACTTGCTCCTCATTATCTTGTAGGACAGATCCCTTATTAACTTGTTGCACAGACTCCTCATTATTTTGTAGGACAAACAGCTCATTATTTTCTGTGCTCGATCGCTCATTAACTTGTTGCACAGACTCCTCATTATCTTGTAGGACAGACCCTACATTAACTCCTTGCACAGACTCCTCATTATTTTGTAGGACAAACAGCTCATTATTTTCTGTGCTCGATCGCTCATTAACTTGTTGCACAGACTCCTCATTATCTTGTAGGACAGACCCTACATTAACTCCTTGCACAGACTCCTCATTATTTTGTAGGACAAACATCTCATCATTATCTGTGCTCGACCGCTCATTAACTTGTTGCACAGACTCCTCATTATCTTGTAGGACAGACCCTACATTAACTCCTTGCACAAACTCCTCATTATCTTGTAGGACAAACATCTCATTATTTTCTGTGCTCGACCCCTCATTAACTTGTTGCACAGACTCCTCATTATCTTCTAGGGCAAACATCTCATTATCTTCTGTGCTCGACCCCTCATTAACTTGTTGCACAGACTCCTCATTATCTTCTAGGGCAAACATCTCATTATCTTCTGTGCTCGACCCCTCATTAACTTGTTGCACAGACTCCTCATTATCTTCTAGGGCAAACATCTCATTATCTTCTGTGCCCGACCCTTCATTAACTTGTTGCACAGACTCCTCATTATCTTGTTGGACAGACTCTTCGTTATCTTGTGATGTAGACTCCTCGTTATCCTCAGCAGGCTGTTCTGGTTCCCGACAACCATCCAGCAAGCCATCACCCCAATCAATTGGAAAGCGAGTAACCCGTGGGTCCGAAGCTATGATGTGTCGTTCAAGCTACAAAATATAATAAACAAATAGTTTTAATATTAGTTTTGAAATAAAACTACCTCATAATCAGATTAAGCTATTCACTTTGTTTCCTAACTTGCTCTATATGGTTTCCATTTTTCCTAATATTAAAGTTTCCCACAGTAAAATGAAGAGCAACGCGAACAGTATTAAATAAATACGAATCACGGTGAATTATCAGTAGGAATGGTGAGATTAAGCTTGGAAATTGCGTAACTAGTCATTAACGACAATGATGAAAAACAGGTCGATTCGTGATGATAAAGGCTTTTGTCTGTATAACCAACCAGTTTTCACTATTCTTATAATTACATCGTTATATCTTAAATGACTGTTGTTAATATAACTACTATTACTAAACTTGGAGGATCTGGACTTCACCGATGATATACGTCTGATTTCCCACAAATTGGAAGATATGCAAGTGAAAAGCAACAAGTTAGCAGGAGAAGCATCAAAGATAGGACTTCAGATGAACATAGAGAAAACAGAGGTGATGTGGATTCCTGGTCAACAGCAACAACCACAATCAGCATAAGTGGGAGAAGTCTGAAAGAAGCAACCTCCTTCACCTAACGACCTGGGAAGCATCGTTTCAACTAAAGGCAGGAGGAACTGATGAGGATATCAAAGCGATGATCGGGAAAAAAAGGTAAGCTTTCACTACTTTCAAGTCTGTGTGGAGATAAACAATACTCAGCATGAAAAGCAAGATGTGGATTTTTAACTCCAATGTGAAGTCAGTGCTACCATAAGGATCCGAGACTTGGCGCCGTCACGAAGGGCACTTCGGGCAAACTACAGACCTGCGTCAACAGCTGTCTTTGCTCAGGATCAGATGGCCAGAAACGATTAGCAACAGGGATCTCTGTGAGCGAACCAACCCTGCGGGAACCAATTGTGCAACAAATATGCAGGAAGAAATTAAGGTGGAGAAAAACACCAAGTGACATCACACGACAGGCTCTCTAATGGAACCCGAACGGGAAGCGGCGAGTTGGTCGTCAGAGCGAGGGTGACATGGAGTTCAAGTGAAGAGGACGTGGAGCCAGGTGAAAACGTTGGCAGAGAACCGAACGCAATGGAGACGTGCAGTTGAAGCCGTATGTTACTCTAGGAACTAAAGGGAACAATAATAATATTTTTATCACTATGAGTAGTTGCAATCTTATAATCCTTTTGACAAATCATCATGTCGTATATTCGTAGTTATGTATATTACATTGAATACTGATGCACTCTAACTGAGAGCAATATTGTTCACTTACATACGTTGTTGCTTTTGTTTGTCCTTTCCTAAAACCGCAATATTATTGAGTCATTCTCATTCCACGCATTGATTAATGAATCGATAATATTCCTTCTTTATCTAACCTTCTTACTCTGTAATATTTTTACTCATGCGTAAATCTTTTCTGTGCCAGTAAGCAAGTGTATACATACTAACAGCTGGGCATTTCCTGTGTTGCTTCTCTATCATTTTGGATATATCTAAACTTCTTTTCTCAGACGGCGTAACTGACCCTGACTGATTAGTTTAACCTATTGGACTTCCCAACCTTTGTATAGTACTAAATAAATTATCTTGCATAATTGAGCCATTCGTGTCTTTAAGCTGACAGAGTTTGTCTTTAAATGAACTCTGTATGAAAAGCGGTTCATCAAATCAACACTTCTACTTCTATATTAAGCTGAATTATAATTGTGTATTGCACTTCAGCAAACCGAAGCTTCTGTTCTCCATTTTCTACAAAAAGCAAATTTCTGCTGACCATATAAAGGCTTGTAAGGGGTCACAACCGAAATAGTCTTATGCTTTCCTTGATGCTCTAAAAAGGTTTACATAAAAATGTTATGAGTCCTCTACATTTCAGTTCGAATCATGAGCTCTCCTACTATATGTGATACAGTTATGTTCCTGCAGAATTTATGCTTCAGCTTTTTTTTAAACGTGGGAAATGAAAAGGTGCTATATTATATCTAGTAGCTGGAAGCATCTCAAACAATGTTTGAAAACTACGCTCAGTATTCCCTTCGTAAACCAAATCAGGAAAAAAAATCCTCGATAGAACAGAAAAGTGCATTTACATTGGAATATGACATAAATAGAGTAAAGGGTTTTAAACAACCCTATACATTCACTTAGCAACTGTTTTGGTGTGAGTTAGTTGGGGCTTAACTACCACTACAGAAAATCTATCGGCATCAATGATTTTAACACTTAAAATTCACAAGACACTACTTTAAACTTTCAAGTACGTCTATATGTCTACATCAACAGTACTATAGAACAGTTTTTGTTCAGTTATCAAACAACGAATTTTATTTTACAGCAAAATCAATATGAGCTATTGCCCAATAAGTATAACGAAAGAACTGGATATGTATCGGACACCCGCTGAGGCGACCGTTGAGTGACATCAAGCGCCAGCCCCTTTAACGGAACCTGAATAGAGATCAACTGGTTGGGTGAATGAGGGTGACATGGAGGAGATAGTGTGAGGAGGAAACGAAAGTCTATGGGCGATCGTGGCACCAATTAAAAAGGACTGTAGAGAACAGCATGATATGGAGATGTGCTGTTGAGGCCCTATGTCTTACTCGGAACCCAACGGAAAAACAGTATAATCAATATAACTATGTAGCTGTCTCCATTTAGGCGTGAATTACCCTTAAGTTCGAGGACATTCTTCTACATACAATATATATATGATGTCTGCATTTTGGTTATAATTCACCGTTCCAACTTCCAGTACACTCTGTACCTCATCTTCACTTTTGGCATGTTATTCTACTCATAAAATGAGCTGAATATTCAACTAAGGTAGGTTTAGATTACTTCACACTCATTGGTCATATTAGTTTATTAATCAGGTGGTATGCAGCTGACGGAAATCCTATGAAATAAAATGAATTCATCTTATCCTGCAAAAGGTGTTTCTATAGTGCTGATTAATGAGCTTAAACTATCACTTACCCATTACTGCTGCTTTCAATTTTTAAACTTTTGTTTTCCAATAATGCTCTTGACTAAGGTCTACATCGAGCCTATTTTCATTCCTCACGCCGATAACAACTAGGTGCTCATAGGCAACTATTGGTGCAGACGATACTATCAAAGTTACTCAATGTGACTAATCCTCTACTGAAGATTTCATAGAGGTTTGACGACTTTTTATACAAAGGATAACGAACGTTATTAGAATTCAGGATGAAACAAACCTCTTAAAGGCCCACCCATGTAACCGCCTCTTCTTCAAATTACTCCCTGTTATGATTATCTCGCGTCTCCGCTTCTCCTAGCTTTATGTTTCTGCACCTAGTGTTTATAGCGCTGTAAACAACAACTACTAAATCAACAAATGTGGCTGGACAGCGAAACTTAGACAAATTTGATTAGAAACTCAAGGAAATGGTGTACCCCTTTTATTTTATTTCATGTTTAATCTTCCCTAGTGAACTTTTAAGCGTGTTTTATCGCGTTTGTTTAATTGGAAAAAAGGTATTTGGATTGCACCGAGTTGCTGCAGGGTTTTTATAAATACTTTTGCTTAAAAAGTTCTGTTTTTTATGGGTATGTAATGAGAAAAATGTTCTGTATACAACTAAGATAAACAAGTAACGCTGAATAAAATGGGATGTTGGTTTGTGAACACTTACTTCGTAAAGTAAAGGTTCTGCTGGAGGTTCAAGACGAAGAGCTTCACTTCTATACTCATTATTAACATAATAACCAACACGTATGAATTCTTTGTCCCTATACAAAGCTTGTATAAGCACAACGGTTACACCAACAACATCTTCATCGGGAATCAAGCTAGGATCAGGAGCACTAGCTTCGAAGGAAAACTGATGCCGACCAACTGGAATCGGACCAACTAGAATCGAATCCAATGTCTGATCCAAAGATGAGTTGTACGCACTACTAACGTACACCAACCTCCATTCCAAATCTGAAAATAATTATTAGTGGGAAAACAACAGAATATGACTTCAAATGGATATATCAAAGTGACTTTGCTCTTCCAAACATTGAACTATGATATTTTGACATCAAGTCGAACATGCAAGTATGTAATCAAATAATTAAGGTCCGTCTCTGCTGATTTCAGAATACGCAAGCGAACAATATCTCAGTCCCCTTTAGCTGGCAAAAAGCTAAGACATTTTCATCACAGTACAAGCAACAGTTTTTAATTGAAGGACCATCAGGAGGATGCAAAGATATTTATCAAGCTGAGTACCATGTGTAAATTGAACATGAAAGTTAATTTCAAAACTAAGCTGATAACATCCGTTTTGTTGATAAAAAACCTTTTGGACTTTTCATAATGATTACGAAGTGGGTCTTGTGTTGTTATACATGACAGAACTCATTTTGTTCTTGTCAGAAACACTAACTATCATATATATATATATATATATATATATATATATATATATATATAATAGCTTGGAACAAAGAATGAAACCCCAACATACTATTAGAGTCGTCGGAACAATGGATGCTCCCGATCAACGCAGCGAAATGCGCAACGATGCGCATTGGACGTGCAAGCGTCAGCTCCTACGAACTAGAAGAGATAACACTCCCACCAGTTCACACTCACTTGGATCTAGGTGTCATAGTAAGTCAAGACTTAAAAACTACAGCGCACTGTAGCGCAGTTGCAGATTTTTGTGGGCAATTCTCGGAGACTTTACTAGAATCACCACAGATATGTCCAGCTCTTTACATACATCTCTGGTGAGGTGAAGACTGGAAAACTATATCCAGAAAGCCATTCCTTGTCTCAGAGGGGACTCCTATATTCTAGAAAGAGTTCAAAGGAAGGCAACACGTATGATTCTTGGCATGACTAATTCATTATACGAGGAGAGACTGAACAGTTTCAATCACTTCTCCCTGTCATACCGCAGTTAGAGGGTAGGTCTCATTACAATGCTTAACATTTTTTAAACAACCACTACGGATTTGATCTATTTTTCTCTATCTTCCCCCACATGTCCAATACAGCAGAAGAGTTCAAAAGCCAAGGAGAAACTATATCGCTGGGGAGTACTTGGTTCCCACAGCAAGTTATCAACCCCTGGAACCGACTCCCAGTAGAAGTGGTATCAGCACTCTCAATTGAACAGTTCAAGAAGAGTATAGACAAGCAGAGAAATATACTAGGAAAGGATTAACATAGGCTTCAAGCCTTCTATACACAAACAACAAATCTGATTGTCCTTTGGACACTGGTAGTACAGAATAGCTAGTTTTTAGGTACTCAACGATAAAAATTTGCTAGGCTTCCAGCGGGACATTCATTCCCATAATGAATATCTTTTCATTTGCGTCTTTTATTACGTGCTTCCTTAAAGTGTGGAGAGTTGGTACCAACTTGTACCTTGTTAAATCAATCCCTGAAATTTGAACAGGCGTAATGAATTGTAACTCGGCCATCTGAAGTGAAAACAATTGGATTTTTGTTATGAACATCTTTCTAACATCCTACTTAGTCAGACGAATAGAAGTTGGTGGGTGACAACTCATGAGATCTTTTAAGTGAGCAATCACGCTGATGTGTAGTGCGTTTATACCATGCCTCGGGTAAGTAATGCGGTAAGACGCTCTGATCGCATCAAGTGTTTACGAAAATGAGTCATTTACTGAAGGCCACTAGCTGAGAAATGCCAAACAAAATTTTATCGATGCCTTCTAGGCTGTAAGCCGACTGTTGGCAGATAAGTACTCATGAGCGACGTTAGATAAGTTAACAACAATGATTTCGCCGTTTATTTGCAACATGTCATGACAAACGTTATGCATTCATTACATCTATCGCCAGGAAATACTGTATTAACTGATACCTGGATGACTACCTATGATAGAACAGATCTCCAGAATGCATAGAAATGGGTGTATAATTTACAGTCACTTACATTACAGTAACTTCAAACGAGGTAAGTTGCATCTGCTGCGATTAAATTCTCTTGAATGAGAGTGTATTCAATGCACAGTCTTCAATCATGGAGGATAAACACGGAAGCGACTCACTTGCACGTATCGTTCACAGACCTTGGTTGATAAATAATTCAAGAGCTTCGGATGACTAGATTTGGTGACACCCGCAACTAATCTGTGGTAAACTTGAATGGATTTCCAAGGCGATCTGAAAACAAACCCATCTTAGCAAGGTGACGATCTGCTTGTCTCTAAATCCCTCGCTACAGCAGCTGGGGCAAACGACAACTTACTCAAAAAAGCAAAACAACATCTGAATAGTTATACCAGTCATCTTACATTAATCATAACGATAAGAACCAAACATAAAGGCTATCAAATGAAATGATGCGTATCAAAGAACATTTGTTGTGACATCCACCAATAGAACCTACCGTCATCAAGTGGCTCGTGACATTCAAATGTTATTTTAAACTTGAAAGGATCAAAAAATGAAGCTGGATTTTGCAAGACTTCTACATTGCATATATTGACCTTCGCCATAACGTCCAATCAAACTGCAGAGCAAAATTTATTGCAGCGTATGACGAACTTAAGCAATAACAATTGTAGTGGTTCAAATTTTAAGGGGAGCGCCAGTTCAAAAACCAGTGGACGCTGAACTGTAAAAGCCTAGCTCTTTGTATCTACATATTTATATATTTTTTGGACTTCTGCTGGTGTAATTCAGTGTCAATTATAAAGTGCTTTTCCTCAAGTCGTGTTCTGCTTCTTCGCTCTACCCTGCGTGCTTGACCTGTATAATTGTTTGTGTTGTTCTATTACAGAACATGGCGAGCCGGCCCAACTCGCGCAAACTCAAGCGAGAAGTTAAGGACCTTGCATATCCTGACAACGCGAACGCCCGTGATCCAGAGTATTTTAACAGCGCACCATCGGTGAGGTCATCAACCCCACCAACAACGTCTACCTCCACACCTCCTCCAGATATGATCCAAGCAATGGTCGCGGCGTTCAGAATAGCATTGATGACGCCTAATACACTTACATCGTCCTCCAGCAACAAACCGAACGTTAAATTTCCTGCACCGGAAAATTTTCTTCTCGGGGAATCGTTCACATTGTGGGAAGAACAGTGTCGTCGCTATATACAACAATTTGATGAAGAACAAAGAGCTTGTGCTATCATCTGTCTATTGTCGATACCTGCATTAAAACATCTCAAGCTAGCTGGCGTCGTCACTGACAAGACGATGGAAGTGAAGGAACTATTTACAGCTATGTGTCGAGCATTTGCGCCGCATACCCATGTTCTCGGGCAGCGGGCTGCATTCCACGCATGTGTCCAGCAAATTGACGAAAGCACAGAGGAATTCCTCTGATGCCTTCAAGAGTTGCCTCCCGTGGCTTTCGAAGGAGACACAGCAACCGAGATTAACTCCCGTATTCTCCACCAGTTCGCAGAAGGGTTATTGCACGACGAAGTCAGAGAAACTAACCTTACATCGCCCGTGAAGGCCCTACAGGTTGCCAAACAGGAGGCTCTAATTAAGCTTCGTAAGAATCGGCGATTAACAGAAGGGTCCTATACTCCGCCACAATATCAAGAATTGACGCCACCTTGTGAGCATCGTGCGAAACGACCTATGGAGTGGAGGTCTCGACCTTCCCCGAAAGCAAGACAAACCCCAAACCAACTACGTCCAAGGGCGGGCTGGATGAACTCTCGCTTCCCAGAAAAAGTTGGTGAGTCTGCCCTTTTTTACCTAATGTTATCCAAGTATCAAACGAGCCATATGTAGCCCAGCGTTTGCCCAATGTTTTAGTTAAATTTTATGATAGAACCCTCGTTGGCACAGGTGCAGCTTGCACATTGCTGTCCAGCAAACATTGTAATAATATAGCCAAAACTGCCACACCCCCACCTCAACATCCAAGCGGCAAATGGCTCTTGCATGAAAGTAGCTGGTGAGCTGTCACTATTGTGGGAAGGTAACCATGATCGTGTGCGGCATCCGTGCTTAATAGTTTATGGATTGTCATGGGATTTGATACTAGGTTATGACCTCCTATGCAGCTGCAACGCTTCCATTGATATTGAGTCCCAAACGATCACCCTGCTAGGTTCTACATTACTGTTTGGATTAAAGTAATACCTATTCACAGCTGAGTGTGAATGCAGTTGATGCCACCCTGATGGAAAGTATGTTGACACAGGTTCCGCGAGAACACAAAGACTCGGTGCATCGCTTAATTTCAGAGTTTTCGGAGGTCGTATCGTGGTCCCCAGCTGACCTGGGGAGAACCACAGCTATTCAACACACTATCGAAACTGGTACTTGCGCTCCAATACGGCAACCACCTCGTCGAGTCCCGGCTAATTTCCGTCCACAGCCGGAAAGCATGATTGACGAAATGCTGCAGAAAAAAAGTAATTGCGCCATCAAACTCACCGTGGGCTTCACCTATAGTGTTAGTTAAGAAGAAAAATGGCTCCCTGCGCCTGTGCGTTGATTACAGAAAATTAAACACAGTGACTCGCAAAGATGCTTACCCATTACCTAGAATAAACGACACATTAGAGGCATTATCAGGCGCCGTCTGGTTCTCCACCCTTGATTTAGCGTCTGGATATTGGCAGGTGGAAGTCCATCCTCGTGATCGGCCAAAGACTGCTTTTACTATACCCACCGGTTTGTATGAATTCCAGACCATGCCTTTCGGGTGAAGTAATGCACCAGCAACGTTTCAACGATTGATGCACATGGTACTTAAAGGATTAGTCCCACAAGTATGCCTCGCATATTTAGACGATATCATCGTGTTTAGTCACACCATCGAAGAACACCTCGAGAGGCTGCGGATTGTCTTGAAACGTTCGAAGGAAGTGGGACTCAAAGTGCAACCCGCTAAATGCCATTTGTTCAGAAAAGAAGTCACTTTCTTGGGGCACGTTTTCAGAGCACAGGGCATTCATAGCGATCCCGAAAAGGTTGCAGCAGCCAAAGAGTGGCCCGTAACTAAATCCGCGAATGAGTTACACAGTTTTCTAGAGTTGGCCTCTTATTACCGCCGGTTCGTGAGAAACTACCCAGAGATCGCTAGTCCTTCAACGAGTTTGACTAGAAAAAATATTCCCTTCGTCTGGACCGAAGATTGTGACCGTGCTTTTCAGCAGCTGAAAGATTCATTATGCTCGGCGCCCATTTTAGCATTCCCGGATACATCAACGGCTGGTAAGTATATCTTAGATACGGACGCTAGCCACATATCCATCGGAGCCGTATTATCCCATGTCGGTAGTGATGGCAAGGAACATGTTATCGAATGTGGCAGCCGCACATTGAGTCGTGCAGAAAAAACTACTGCATCACCCGCAAAGAAATGTTAGCCGCTGTTACCTTCGTTCGTAAATATCGACCCTATCTCCTTGGTAAACCGTTTGTTCTGCGGACAGATCACAAAGCCCTTCAGTGGTTGCAAAACTCCAAGGACCCTGAAGGACAGACAGCTAGATGGCAGGAATACCTCCAGGAGTATGACTTTGAATGTGTTCACCGTCCTGGCAAGCGGCATGTCAATGCTGATGCGTTATCTAGACGCTCTTTCAGACCGCACGGAGACTGCCCGTCTTGCGAGAGTATTGATATTTGTGCTATTTCGTTGGCAGGTTTAAGCAGAGAACAGTGGGCCCATATCCAAGCTACAGACAATGAAACCGCACTCCTATATCATGCCCTGTTAAATCAGACTGGTAGCCTAGTTGAAGCTGATGTGAAAGGGAAGAGTTGGGAGACCAGATATTTGTGAGCGTTATGGGACCAGCTAGTGCTCGTGAATGGCATCATGTGCGTTCAACCAGGCCCTAACTACTTGAGAAGAGTTGTTGTTCCTCAGTCGTTCATAACTGCAATTCTGGAGAATATACATTACGACTTGGGACACGCTGGGATTAATAAGATGTTGTAAGCAGTTACCCAACGTTACTGGTGGCCTCGTCAACGGCGTGGTGTTCGAGATTTTGTCCAGGGGTATACAACATGTGGCAAAGTAAAGAAACAACAGAGGAAACCCAGGGCGCCACTTATTGACATGAAGGCTGGTTACCCCAACTAAATAATTGGCGTAGATATCACTGGATCTTTACGGGAGACCCCACGGGGGAACAAGTATATCATGGTCGTGGTTGATTACTTTACGAAATGGTGTGAAGCTGTTCCCCTACAGCGTATTGATGCCTCTACAGTAGCTAAAGCTATATTTGATTGTTGGATTGCTCATTTGGGCGCACCCGGACAATTGCATTCGGATCAAGGAACTAACTTCGAAAGTGTCTTGGTTAGAGAGTTGTGCCATCTATTCGGGGTTAAGAAGTCTAGAACCACAGCGTGCCATCCTGAAGGCAATGGGTTAGTCGAACGTACCAATCGAACCTTAAAATCATTACTATGCCCATTCTTTGAGAGAGAATCACAATCAGCCTGGGATATGATGTTACCGAAATGCTTGTTGGCCTGCCGAGGAAGCACACACATGTCTACGGGGAAGACTCCACACCTTTTATGGACCGGCGGCGGGTCACGACTGCCCGGTGATACCTTGGTTATGCCCCGATGGGTTGACCCGCTAAATACGTCGGAAATGGTGATAAGGTTGCGAAGGGACATAGCCAAATATCATAGCTATGCACGTGAAGAACTTCAACGGGCACAAGAGCGACAGAAACACTACTATGATCGGAAGCAGTGGGGCACACCATTCAAGATAGGGGATAAGGCTTGCCTGCGCCAACCACTGACTGCCAACTTGAGTCGTCATAAAGCCGCAGCACAGTGGACGGGCCTATATGTGGTATACTGCAGAGTAACGGACAACACCTACGAAATCCAAGAAGACAACGACAACCCCAGAGAATGATAGTGCACTTCAACCGTCTGAAAACGTCCAGACCAAACCAACAGGCACCAACGAAACTTCGGAATAATCTCGATAACCATAATAATCATGCGCTTCTTTCCCTTGCAGGGACGATGCCGAGGCAGGGAGAAAGAAAGACTGAAGTCGCTGGGGACAGCTTTTGGGAAGCGAGGGGGTCTTGTAGTGGTTCAAATTTGAAAGGAAGCGTCAGTTAAAAAACCAGTGGACGCTGAACTGTAAAAGCCTAGCTCTTTGTATCTAAATATTTATATATTTTTTGAACTTCTGCTGGTGTGAGGAGGTTACATCACGGTTTGCTCCAGCCGATAGTCAGTAGGACACAATCCATATATTACAGAATGGTTATCCCAACACCGCTTAAAGCCTCCAATTGGTGGTGCGGTAGCCCTGGCCTCTGAGAAAGCATTCCAAGGGCGGCAAAGTGCAATGCGCAAAGGAGTAGGTGCATTCAAAAGTTTCCTCTAATCAGGTCGCAGTCCTGCATGAATTGCTTGGCAAGGGATTGCAGTAGTCTGATGGCGGACGACTGTTGTCATCTGTGGAAATGTGGCCGACGATTACGCCACCGTGAACGCATGTTAGCTAACAATGTAGACATCTACTTCAATTATGATCTTTCCGTATATTTTCTCTGAAAGTCACTCACCTCGATCTTCACTCTTCTTTCCATGGTAGCATTTCGTTGAAAGAAATATGTGGCAACGACGCTGTTA